CCTTTTGCATCCATCCCAACGAAGGGTAAATGGACAGATCATTAATCCTAGTTAGACAGTTAAACCCACAATTCCTAACAAAGATTAAAGCCATATTTTAAGCATTCAATAGTTCTGGGGGCGACCTGCTTGCTTTCATAGATATGTAATTGCTTTGCCTCATATGACATGACAATGGAAACAAGCAGTACAAGCAGCATATATAATACTATATAACATTAGGTTACGTGTTTGACCTGTGGAGAGGTGACCCCCGCTAGAAGGCATGTTTTTGAAGGTATTTTTTCAGCAATAAAAACACTCATAATTAAATAAGTGACGGATATGTTAACTGTCAAACTGTGGAACATTCCAAACTGGAGGTGTACACACCCCCTGAAAAGTTTCTCAATGACCTATTTAAGATCTTTTTTTCCCCTCATATCTACACAGGAGTGTAGTAGTTCTTCAGGGCACTATACTAGTATGTGTTAGTCAACCTTTTTCTGTTCTACCAAATGATTGTGCGTATGTGACTTGTATGTAAATGTCAACAAAATGAGACTTCTTAAAACTGTAATATTATGTTAAAAGTAGACTTCTAAAGTTCCATGCCAGCGGGAACAGCTTGGCTCAGTCAGATGACACATTAAAGCCACAGTCTGGAGCATTCTCTACCTCCGGCTGTTACATCTCATCCAGTTTGCTGTCGCTCTGAGCTGTGTTTCTTATGCCCACCTTCTGGTCATGACACTGTCCTTTCTGTGACCCGGTCTCTGGAAATTTCAATTGAAAAAGTCAAATCTTAATTGTGTTGCATCCATTTATTCATACTGAAAGCATTTGTTATATTTCTGAAGTCATGCAAAGAGGAAAATTGAAGGACAGTTCCAAGTTTTCCTGTGAAGAGGTTAAAAGATTATTGGCACTTTTTAAAATATATTTTTCCATTCAATAGTGTTTTGAATTGGTTGTAACCTTGTTTTTCTTCACTTTTGTAATTCTGGGTCCTTTGAGTGACTCCTTGTGTTTTGAGCTGCCACGTTCATTGGGATTAATCTGGCGATGTTCAAGGGCAGGAGAAACAATTCCTTTTTATGCTCATGAATCTTTTCAGTCAGAGCTTGTCACCTGTGAGCAAACATTCTATTATTTTTGCTGTTCTGCGTGTGCATTCAACATTTCATTTTAATTAGTAAATGCTAAGGGTGCGCAACTGTCAACTTGATGCTGTTTGAATTTAGAGGTTTAGTACCAGGAAAAATAAGTTGACATGTTTTTACTTGTGTAATTTGCCCAATGTGAAGCATTACAAGTAATGCAACAAAAATCTATGAGTCAACTTACAAAATATTAAAACTTTGGTGCATTGTGGAAGGAGTGACATCCACTTACTTCATGATGTTATTGCTTTGACTGGAATGTTGCACTATATGGCACTAAACAGGTTTATTTATTATTAATACATTTCATGCGTCATTCCACAGATGTGACGTGTCACTTGGACCGGCATTACCAACTTGCCTCCTTGAAGATAACAAAACTACCTCTTATCCTGAAATGTTCCACAGTACAGCATTCATACTCTGAACATTTCAGGCAAAACAGTAGCATCTCCATGGAGACAAGCAGGTGGCAGACCTGCCACCAGAGACTTTCATAAAATGGAAAGTAAACCATAAAAATGTCCAAATAATTTTATTTGTATTGTAAAACTTAATTTTCTCAACTTGTCCCCCAAGGCTCTCTTCATTTTAACAACTTGGCCATTTTATTACCTCCACCCCTAGTTTTTACAGTGTAATTATGCAGATCCAACAGGGTGCTAATGGCAAGAGCACAGCATCATGGAGGATGTGGCTAACTTTGAGGAGTTCTTCCTGTAAGAAGTTGTGAGAGGTCGGCATGACAAATCCTGACCACAGTGGGCCTTTGGGTGCTACAAACAGGGCATGTGCCTCCGGGTGGAAGCCATAAATCTCAATGACTCCTCAACCAGCTGACTATTTTGTCTCTATACTTGAACTTTGTAATTTAACTAATGCTCTATTTACAATGCAAGTATATATTTTTTCCATTTGTGATTGCTAGCAGATGCTGCGTACTTGTCATTAACTGACCAGCTGCGTCGAAATGGAATCAATTGTGCTGAATGTGACTTTTGTTCTTAATGTAATGTGTGGGTTTTGCAGAGGACCTCTCATTGTCGAGCTAAACAACATAATGAGCAAGACTGTATGTACCAGATGTTTGCTAATGTAATCACCAACTCATTCCAACTCAAGCAAGCCATGTGTACAATTTCAGTTCACAGACGGTAAGAGCGATCCGGTTTCAGGCGTCCAAATGGGGACACCTTAAAATATCTGGTTTTATACAAGCGATTTGTCATTTGGGCTTTTGAGAAATTAGGTCCAGACTCCTTTAAAAGGGCAAGTAAAAGACATGGGGAATAAAATGGCTCATAAAGTGCAAAGCTTTCGGTTCAGCTGAGGTATCTGCCCCTCAGTGTGGGAAAGTTATAATAACGTTGATTACTGAGATTCCCAACTGTAAACAACTGTATGCAAAGACTGTATAATTATTAGGCCCCTAACTTCCACTTGCTGGGTTTCAGATAACATCACAAGGCCAATATTATTTAAAGCAGGTGAGGGGCAGCTAAAATTAATGCCATTAAGATGCAGATTTTTTTGTGAATTCAAGGGTGTAATAGAGGATCTTAGATTTTAGATATAGCTTATGAAAATACCACATAATCAATATGGAAATCTGGACATCATCATTCTACAATCTTAAAAAAATAAAATTTAAATAAATAAATAATACCAATTTAATGACCATAAAAACATACTTTAAAAATAGTCAAAATGTTCACCAGGCATGTTTACAGTTTTACTCTTATGCACTAGTTCAGGTTGACTTTTATTTGCCAATATCCTAATTTTGAAGTTTCCAAAAGTGTGTTATTAAAACGTGGAAGAAGTACAAACCAACTATACAATATTTGCTAGTTGGCCATCAAGTAATATCAAGTTGGCACAGTTTATTAGAATGCTTAGTTTGTCTTAACACTTTTTTTTACTCCTAGGTTACTCCTTATGCAGTAGAATATATTATAGAATATATTCACTGATATATTAGTTGTGACTGATATTTTTTGTTTCAAATACCAACTATCTTTTTATGACTGTTGACATTTAACTGCAATTGACTCTGATGTATTGAGTAATGTACTGTGACATATAAAATATTTCCATAGTACCTGAAACTTATAAGCTTGAACTGCTTGTAGAAGAGGCTTTTAAGAAACACTCTTAAAATAATAAGGTGGCGAAGAATGCACTTGACGGGTGCTTGATTCATTCACTATCATTATCATGTGTTTTAAAATGCCATTATTTATCTACAGAGCCACACTTGAGTCAAGGAAGAAAGCCTCTGTTTATGAGTCTGAGTCTAGGTCAATGTATTTATATGGATAATTGGTTTTCCCACACATTTTTATAACCATTCAGATTAGGGGTAGGTGGCACATAAAAAATTAATAAAACTGATAATAAAAAATATATATGGCATTTGAGCCAGATGTAGTTTGTAGCATTATATAAGTTATTAAAACATAATTAAAGATATCAGTTCCACCTGAATGTTCACCTTTCACTGTGATTGATTAAATCCACCTGTCAATCAGTCAGTGGCTAGTATGAAGGATACTGACCCATAGGAAAAGTGGGTGGGCTACATTTTCTGATGGTTCTTCCTATGTATTTGTGCAAAATTTGCCCCAGTATTGATTTAAAATATAAGTATGTAAGCTGTCTGACAATCAGGAAGTTTACAGTTAGCATGCTAGTTGTTATTTTTACCTTGATGGCAAAAGTTTACTATGGCTTCTGAATTTTGTGAAAAGCGCTAATAAACTCATTATGGTGAATAGATAACATGTCTTGGATGAATTAGGATACTCTGAAAAGGTAACTCACTTACAAGTTTGGACCAATGCAAACCATTTCAGATGAACTACTTCTGTTTTTCTCAGACAATAAAAATCAGGTACAGCACATTTAAACAGAAACACAGTGAATCATGATTTGCCTATATCAGGACAGTAGCTCTAGCCAGTCTATGCAAGTACCTCTGGACTTGAGGAACCCTGTATGCTCTCCAACGTCTTGCAATATTAAGCTTACCAGAAATGAGCCTTTGTATTAAAAATTGAGATACATCCTCTATAATGTTTAACCTCTGAATTTTGACATTTCTACTGGTGACTGAAACAAATCCTGTGCCCCCTGAGCCAGAGAGTTTTGTCAGAGGAGCCAGTGCCACTCTCACACACCCAGAGCCATATTGCACATAAATTAAACAACAAACATCAAACCGGGACATGAACCACTGAACTTAAAATACTCGTATGTCTCCTGTGTGCTAGGATTAAAGGCATTAAAGTGCATATGACAGGTTTTTGTGTTTTTTCTAATTATTACTTGGTTTGGAGGGATAATACCTGTGCTAAATATTTATCAGTTTTACATCAGTTAAGTGGCAGTTTGTTTGAAAAAAGTAAAGAAAAAAGGTGGAGGGTCTGTCAAATGCTTTTCTCCATGGAGCTGTTATCGCTTTGTCTGAAATGTTTCACTGTATGGTATTAAACCTTTCTATCATCATGGAGACCAAACCAGACCAAGTTACAGGTCAGATCTGTGGAGAAGAAACACCTTCTCACAGTCAGTATTTTTTACCTATAAAACTATAAAATGTAATAAATATGCACTGAAAAAATGGTCTGAGAGGGGTTGCTCAAATTGCAAAAACTAATTTGACAACAATAACATGACTTTACTTTTCTCTGTCCAGCATGCTTAAATCTAGAATGTCGTCATTGTTAAAACATGTTTGTGGTGTTTTATTTGAAATTAGAGTTAATGTCAGGACTGTTTCCATGAAACAAATTGTTTTTGACTGTCCATCTACAAGAGTGTGACAGTTGTACTAAGATTTGAATGTGTTTATTCCAGACTCATCCACAAACAAACAGTGATGTCCAGAGCTCTGCTGGAGCTGTGGGGAAGTTCATGAATGTTATAGTTGATGTTTCAGAAAAAAGGAGGATGTTTGAGAACCAACAAAACACAGACCACAGATGAACAAAGTAAGTAACTCAACTAAAATGATTTTAAAAGAATTTTTCAAAATGAACTTCCCATTGAAACAGTTATTGTGTTTCTACAGGGTGATTTGGCACTAGGAGACTTTATACCAGATGCCCTACCTGTTACTGCATTTAGAGGAAGAAAAACAGCACATGGTGAGTTTTGTTTGTACTGTACAGTTCTAATGTTCTTGTGATTCTGTTCTGGTCCGTTATTGTAGTAATAATTGCTATAAGTGTATTTAAACATGTACAACAGAGTAGATCATCAGAGTGTGATCATCATGTGTTATTCGTGTGTCCACAGGCAGAGACCAGAGCTTCTTCACTGGAATAAATCTTCACACTGTCCAGCTCCAAACTGTGTATCTCTGTACTTGTGCTCTCTGTGTGTTTGATTCTGTTTAAGACAATACAGAACTGTGGAAAACTAAAGACTGTTTTTGTATTCTTTTACAGAATTAGATCAATTAAATTCAATTATACATACTTATACATTTCACGATAAGGTAACATAAGATAAATATGCATATTCAGCAAGATTTTATCAAATTTCATCAACGTGAAAAAGTTCTGTTCATGTTCTGAGAAAAATATGTGTAGAGGGGATCGAAATAAGTTTCAAAGCCTAAACATAATTTTATCGCATGCAACCGCTTTCCATAACTTTTTTACGCAAATCCAGCAACCTTTTTTTTTTTCAGTGTAAGGTAGGGTTATTTAAGGTTATACTGTGTAACATTCTAAGTAGAGCAATATGCATATTCATAGAAACATGCAGGTGACAGACCCTCCACTAGAAAAGTTACACAATGCACATTTAAACTTTCATTTAACAAAATAAAAGTGTTTTTAATTATTTGTATTAGTGTAATCATAAGTAAGTGTGCAACTTAGACACGTTTTGGCCTTTCTTAACAATATGATTCCTAACAGTGATGGAATTATGCTGCTGCCTGTGTCCAACCAGGAAATAAAATTAAATACAAGCTGTTGTGTGTGTGTGTGAAATCTAATATAATTGCAATATGTTTTTGTGAGAAGGTCCTATATTAAAACAAAACTGAGGTGGAAAAGAGTGTTTTCAGTTTGAGAGAAGCACTCAGCCTAAATGTGTAGTCTTTGTGTGTTAAACACGTGTGAATGAACAAAACACAACTCCAGGTATGTTTGTGATAACAGATCAGAAAACAGTGTAATATAGGCCATTTAAATCCAAATATGGTTTAAGAATCTCTGTAGGATTTTTATTTTTTTACCCATCATCCCTTGGGGCTCTCTCCCTCTCTCTATCCTCCATTTTTTAGCCTCTGCGGGAGGTGGAGCGCTCAACAGGCCTGTAATTGCGGTAAACATGGAAATGCAATATTCACACCAGGACTGGGGCGGCTAAGCTTAATGGACAACTTCTGTCATCTATCTGGCACGCGCCTCCGTTTGGTCTGATCTTTTAGGACGGGCCACTGCAGGGGGCCAAAATGGACAGCTCATCAACAGGTCTTTTTTTCCTTGACAGAAAGAAAGCAGGCTAATTTCAGATAAGAGGAAGTGCATAGAGGGAAGCCGTAGGGATTATAATGAGAAATAATTATGGGAGAAAAAAAGGGAGGATTGACAATATGACAATAAGATAATCATGCAATTGAAAAGCATTAGCGCTGGCACAATAGGGCATTTTACATACAAATGAACTGAACAAGAAATGGAGATGTGTTTGAGTACTGAGTCAATTTTGCACTACTTTTCAAAAGTGGCCTTCATCTGCTTGTCTCCATGGAGATGTTATTGCTTTGCGTGCAATGTTCAACAGTATGGCATTAAACTTCTTCCAACTTGCATTTATAAATTTACTAGAATTTTATTGCTCCAAACAATGCCTTGAAAACTATGCATTCTTACTGTTAGTGGGGTCGCCTCTTCACAGATATGACGTGTAACTTGGCGTGGAAGCAACATCTTATTTCAGTGGATAGATATATTTCATTCTATACTGTGGAACATTCCAGGTAGAACAATAAAATCTTAGCAGTTAGTAGACCATCCCCCCCTTAATTGCTATGGCGACAAAGGACCATTGCCATATCTTAAAAAGACACATGAATAGGCCCCTCACCTCCATCATATATGTATAAATGCATCTTAAATTCACAGTTTATCCAAACATTATTTAAACGTAACATTTTCCGTTAGCTCAAACCCACAACAGTTTAAAAATTGTTTATTTACATAATCCCGTCACGCCACATGTTTTTCCTACACGTTATACAATCAGATTAATTTTGGATTTTGAGCACTTATCATTTAATCCACTACTAAAAAAGCAACAACAATGCACTTTAGGGCATGTGAAACCGTGCCAAAATTTCACTTTTAGACAGATTGAGATTTACAGTATTTAATCGTCGCAGTAAAAATATTATTGAAATTGTACTTGTGAAAATGACAAATGCTAAATGTGTAATCTGCTTGGGAGTTCTTTGTGATGAATATTTGAATAACCATGTTTTTATTGTATTATTGCTATGTACCCATCACTCTAACTCCTATTCATCTCTTCATTTTTGTTTTTCCCTAACATGAAAGTGGGAAGTGGGTCTGCCTCCTTCTTTGTTGACAAGCCGTACATCTTTGTGGCATGCTGTGCTTTTTAGGGACGCACACGGAGAACTCATCTGTCTTTTTTGCTCATTTTGTAGTTAATAGGCTGTTTGGGTTTGTATGTTGATTTAATTAGCGTGCTTATTTGGGCATAAGTCTTTTGTAGAACACATTAGTTTCACAACAGCAAGTTTCCCATTTTACCTGAATAGAGTTTGAAGTCATGTGCTAATGTGATGTCTGTTCTGACAGAAGTTGAGTCATTAATTACTTTTTTTGCATTCTCAATTAAAAAATCTTGAATATATTTGTGCGTTATTTTCTTTTATTTTGTTGGTAGTAGTACTAATGGAACGCAGACACAGGGGGTAAGGTTAGTTAAGTGTCTTGCCAAGGACACAACAATTAACCTGAGGGAGCTGGGGTCACACTAGCAACCTGTGATGTTCATGTCAAGAACGGGATTTGAACTGTCAACCTTCACATCAGTGGGCAAAGACTCTACCACCTGAGCTACCGTACTTGCACTTTAGTTTTTTACATAACAACTTATTTATTATGTATTAATGAAAACTTCTCAATAGGCCTTTTTCACAACAGCCGGAAGTGCCGCGATGTAGGGTAAACGTCACTTATGTTAATGCTTTTCTATGGCAAAATATCTGTGGAAATGTCTTGAGTATTTTTACACCAGCTTCATAAATCTGCCCCATCACCATAATGTTAGTTTTGCTCAGGAGTAGTTCACTAATGCTAGTCGTTGTTCACCTTTACGTTTTCGTCTTTCTTACCTTGGTAGTTGTGGATAAATTCTTCATGGACAGAATATGTCCTTTGTCGACCTTGTTGGATGAAGATTTGGTGATGGGGCAGATTTATGAAGCTGTTGGAAAATACACAAGACATTTCCACAGATATTTTGCCATAGAAAAACATTAACGTGAGTGACGTTAACCCTACATCGCAGCACTTCCAGACATTTTGAAAAAGGTCTATAAAAAGGTCTAATTTTATATCTAAAACTTTTTTTCTTTTTTTTTTTGCATCCAACTTTTCCTTACGTGCGCAGTGGCTGGTAGGCAGAAAGCCAGTGGGGTCGCTTGTTTGTGTTGACAGTTGTAAACAGTTGACAGTATGTCTGTCATGAGATAACTCAACTTATTTTGAAGTAGGTTTTGCATTTAATTGTTTTGACATGACTTCACCATCTTACTCTAAGTCACTGAATGTTAAGGATCAAAAACGTTACTGTGAAAAGTTAAAATTTGCCGATAACTGTTGACGATGTTGATGTTGACTCTTGATGTTGGTTTGTTGATACAGATGGTTTTTGCCTACCAAAATGGCTGCCACCCTGGACGTGACGTTTTCTCATAAAGGCCTGTCAACATAACTATGGTTCCACTTTTTTCTGTTTTATTTGGGAGGTTGAATTATGGACTTCTATGGCGAATTATGGATACAAACTTGATTCAGTGTTAACTTAAGTATTACATTCTACTACTTCACTCTACTACTTTATTCTACTACTTAATTAATTGCAACTCATGTTTTTAGAATACTTTTTTGAGGTTAATTCTGCTTTATCATTTTGGTTGCAATATTATTGTTTATCTTCTCTGTTTTTGTTTTCTTAGCAATATATCGCACTTAAAAAATTATTAAGTTATCGCGACAGGCCTACGCTCTTATTCCATGACCTAAAATAGCTCTTCAGTTTTAATTTTATGTAAGAAATGTCATTGTCAGATAAAAATTTCATCATAATCTTAAATTAATGCAAAAAACAGACCCCTTTATCACAACTGACCTCTTTATCACAACTGTCTGCTAATGTCTGCAGGCTCTCCTATATTTTTCTATGACATCTTTTGATTTTGTTCCCAATTATTTACCACCTCACTAAACAATATTCTTCCACTTTGGTTGAGATCCGACAAAAATGCCAAGGCAAAGTTAGCACACGTTGGCTTTGAAGCCCCCTCTTAATGCTATCTGATGTAGACACTTGCATTCATAAGTTTAAGATTCTGAAGTTAAGGTGTGTGTGTGTGGTTGTACCAAGGCTGATTTCTGATTCCGATCACCGCTTCGGCATTGTCTTGTAGTTACCTCTTGAGAAATAAGGCAGGAAAGATAAAAAAAAAAAAAAATGGCGGCAAGTGAGAGAGACAGAGAGAGGAATCCTAATTAATTGTGATGAATATGCAGATTGGGTTGAATTCTCTGGATAGCCGACTCCTTTCACCGCTCTCCTTCAATATTTAGACAGAGCTTAGGGAACGCGAGCGAGTGTGCGGAGAATACAATCAGCTTCAATTTAACTTACTAGTTCGAGAGACATTTTGTTTTTACTAGTCCTTCCATCTTCACTGTCTGCCCAAATTTACATCTTATCAATTTGTGTTTTGCCCGGCTTATAAAACTACAAAGGGACTTTCGCTTGACATTTCCGACTAATTTTTGTCAGTGTGTAATGGATTTATGGCTTTAATCTCAATTTTTAGAGTGCTTCTTATTCAAATTTTGTGCAAAGTCTTGGCGAGGGTGTGATCTGAC